TGCTAACGGAAGTTATTCTCATAAACCATCAGAATATTAGTGAAATGGGAGCCTATCTTCTAGTTAATAGGCGTTAACATGAGGAAGCAGGTCACCCAATATGACGTGGTTCTATCTGGTCGTTGTACGTCGGACTCACTCATTTCTTGAAGAAATCGACAAGGTAAACTATTCCTTGCCGAAGCTATATTAGTAAACCACATGACTCCCATCACCAAAACTTCTGTAACCAAATTTTGAGCTATCTTGTATTCAAAGTACAGCTTCTAAATGTGTTGGTGAGAGGGGCGACTCCTATCTAGACAACTCGCCCGGGAGCACGTTAACAACACTTTCGTCAAGTCAAAAGGGAGAAACGCGGAGGTAGAAGCATGCTCATGCACTTGACAATGTTTACATTTCAGCAGACATATGAGTTGAGTACAAGCACCGTCTGTCGGAGACACGGTTTCCACGTGTCCAATATTATTTTCAGCATATTAATATTATGCTGTAAAACTTGCACACGTACACGGGCATAAGAATTCCCAATAAATATATGCACTGTATATCTGAATATAATTTTAGTCATTGTACATCAACATTACCTCAAAAGCGAGTTCATTACATGAAGGATGTCAAAGCGAGCGTCTCGAAATAAACCATGAAAACGTCTTTCATAACTTGAACATACTCTAGCAAACCATTATAACAGAACACCATAGTTGTATCCACCTAGACTGCCGCCCGGGGGCATACCGTTAATAATACAAGCTTGAGGGATTGTAATATAATTACAAAATGAGATATATATTACAGTTAAAAAGGTTTAAACTAAACTTAGGAGGATTAGGTACTTCGTGATTTTGCTTTTCCCAGTACCATAATAACGTCTTTCCTCTCGGTGCTGTTCTCTCTTCTCTCGCATGCTGCTACTGACATCTTATCATGTAATGTACTAGTGATCTCAACATATCCCGGAACATTTGTTCCTCACCATAATATACTATACTACAACACTTTTCTGCCAATTACAAAACGATTAAAATACGTACCAAAAACACCCATAGCCTAGAGTATAAACTTGCTCCTTCGTATGCCACATTAGATTTGTGTTAATTTGGTTTACATAAGAAATCACATACAAAAGCGTAAGTTGCCTAGCATACATAAAGTTTCACCCTGGTAATAACTCTCCCGATACTCAGTTACATCCTTCACAGTCTACGAATACAACTGGTTCCACTGTGTATTTGAAACAGCCTCAAATGTTAGCGGTAAATAGTCTTAGTTTATAGATTAGGCCACAATAAAGGCAAAGATGCCTACTCATTAATGCTTAGCCGAAGACAAAAATGAAAACAACAATTATCCAGAAGATAACTTCACGGGCGTCTCTTCAAGGACTGTAGATCAAAAGTGTCGGGGAAGACAAAGTGGTTGTTTCTTCCACAGGATGACTGTGAAATGGAGAAATGCGATAGTACAGCATTCTGTTCTAGAATTAGCAACAGACACCTTTAAGAAGATATTGCGGTGTGAGTATTACGTTACCTTGTGAAGAAGAGTATAAAACTCACAACAGACAAACATCTTCAAGAAGAGACTAGGACGCAAGTATTACGTTACCATGTGAAGCTGCGTACACAACTCGCTAGTTCCTGAGAGCAAGAGACATGGAAGCAACGGTAGAGGAAAGAGATGTAACTTTGCGACGGGAGACTAATATGTCAAGATTAGATGGTGCACAGGTGACATGAATAGCTTCTTATGCTTTGAATAAATACTTTTCGTAGAGGGTAAGCTTCCCCAGGTGACAAATTCCTTTTTTCACTTTCGTCGTGTGGAACAAGACTGAATGAGGGCGTCGCTCTCTGAAGGACTCTTGACAAAACCCTCTAAGCTGATGTCCTTCTCGTTGACGGCTCGCAGTTCCACGTTGGGCTGTGAACAATCTTCCGCACCTGGTTCTTGCTGCGCACCGCCTGTCATCGCAGCACCCTCTACTGTCTGTACCTGCTGGGGGATAACACACTCAACATCTAGGTAAAATATGTTTGTGTAATGGGTAACAAGCGGCATACTAGAGAAAATGCAAGAAGCGCAGAATGGGTTTCAGGGAAGGGCTACTGTTGTTTAATGGATTTGAAATTGGAAAGTTGGTATATAAAGGAAAAAAAAATGAAATTACTAATGAAAGAATGAAGATTAGTTGCAGCACACTGAAGGAGAACTTTGTTAAAGTGGAAGTTGAAGCATTCACTGCATTGATTTACATACAAAAGACGAAAGTAGAAAAAGTAAGGCCCTCAGTTGAAGCCTATCCCTCGTCAAAGTACAACTGGTGGTTGAGGAACAGGTACAGCACAATCCAAAAGTTCTGAAAAGAGATGGATGAAGGAGGAGTTGTCGAGGTTTTAATAAGCTGATTCCTGGAAGTACAGTGCAGAAAAAAAAACTTAAACCGTACGAAGAAATTTTTAATTAAGGAGCATTTAGTATTAATGTAAAAATATACCGCATACAGATGGGTCCAGTACAACAGTAGGCTATCGCACAAAATGAATTATTTGTATTCAAACATATGTAGGCGTTACTAATTGCTTACTTTAGACCCACGAACGATAAACTACCTGCAAAAATAAAATCCATATATATTTAATATCTGTCAGTCTGTATTCTGAGCTTTAAATCAATCCCTGGTTGGTATAAATAAATTATATATCTGAATGCATAAGAGCGAATACAAAGCTATAGATCCAAATAAAACAACTGGTGGAAGATTGCTGTTGCTCAAGTCTAGAAAGATGAGTGGGATTTTTTTAATGATCAAAATTACCTTATGAAAATTGTGTGAGGCAGGGCAAGGGTACGAGTGTGAGGGGAAAAGTGAGGTCTAGGGAACGCTCATAAAGAGAACTAATGAGCAAAGCCTTGCATGTGAATGTTCCAATAAGCTTTCTCTGTTTCGTGGAAAATGTAAACATAAAATGCATAATTAATCGGATTATAACAATAGACCGAGATATAACGCTAGCGCACTCAGCTCACACACTGAGGTCCGGAGTTCGAATCCCCAGTACGGCTGGATAACATTAGGACGTGTTTCCATAAGACACCTGCTGTCCATGTTCACCCATCAGTATAAAATGGGTGTTTAGTCGACTGGTGTGGGTCGCATCCTGGGACAAAACTGACCTAATTTGCCCGAAATGCCCTGCATAACAAGCGGCTTTCCATATAGTAGTATGTCATTGATGTCAGCTAGGTGTGTATACCTTGTACATGTACTTGTAGAAATAAAGATATATTATTTTTTGTTACTAGACAAAAAATATGTATATGTAAATCTTGACAGGGAACTGTCAATATAGCATTAAGATAATTTAGAACGGACATTTTGAAGGGCACTGTGCACAGACGGGGAAATTATTTCCGAATAAGTAGACACTGAAAGAATGCTAATCTTCTTAAAGACTGATAGAGCAGTGGATCTGAACATCTAGCCATGCATGAACATCAATGTCATGTGCACTAATGGGTGTAAACACTGACCCGTCTACACAGATATACATGAGCAGTGATTAACTGTTACGAGAGAGAGAGAGAGAGAGAGAGAGAGAGAGAGGGAGAGAGCACACAGGGCCAACAATTAACATTACAGCTGTAGTCTATAAACCCACCATCATGTGTTCGAGTGCTTTCAACGATGGTAGATAAGGTGTTATGGTTGATAGGAGCAACGGAGTGGGAAGACTAGGGAGAGGTGGTGGTGTGTATCGGGGAGTTCTATTACCACATGATAAATTAGTCAATATTTCATAGTTAGGAAATGGACGGTTGCAGGAAAATTTAACAAAATCGATGTAGCAAAGAGTGGTCTATAACATACTGACAATTTTAAAGTTGGTGCATAGGCTACATCGGTAGTCTAAATTTTGGAGCGTTTTAAAGAATTAGTTGTAGAGTGATTAGTTACCGAAATTAGGTGCTTCAGTTAATTAGACGTGATATATAAAAGACAAATAACTGCAGGTGATTCTATCTATTGAAGTATTTCATATACTTACTTGCAGGCACTAATAGAAACTGTATGGGCAATGTCGTCAAGTAGGTGTTGGGTGCTATAGAGAATTTACTACGGATGTAGAAGTGCTTAGGTTAATGTCTGAAGGCATATGGTGCACTAAAATATTAGCAGTCAACTCGGAGGCTCTTTAAAGTTTTAAGGGATGCTCTTACATCTATAGAATTTATTATAGGCATAGTGCTGCAGCTGATAGTGTGGTAGGCTGTAAATAATGCTCTTAAGTAACAGTTATTTCAGTACTTAAGAAAATTAGTTGAAAACTTGAAAAAGCTCTTGGAAATTACATGTGGGAGTGGTAAAGAGAATTAGTTATGGGATGTTAAGAAATAGCATAGGGCATAAGTATGCTCAGAGAATGAGTTGTGGATTCTGGGATGCTCTACAAATTTAGTCATGGGGTGCCGTTAATGATTTATAGATGTGCATTGGGGCAGACGAGCAGTGACAACCAAGACAGAAGACCCTTCTCACACTTCCACACACAAGCCGGACAACACATGTTTTTTGATGCAAGCTCAAAACCAGAGGTACATAAAACTAGCCAAGTGGCGAGAGATGCGGTACCGTCTTCTGATTCTTGTTTGTTAAACACAAAGTAAATATTCCACGGTACCGTGTCTCGAGACGCTTCATTGGCTGTGGCTAGAGATACTGTACCGTACTTCGGATTTTGTTGGCCAAGACATTTAAAATGCCCTAATGATCGATTTACGGATTTCAAATGCTTCAGCTTAGTTCCTTCAAAGCATATAAGATAAATATTTATGGCATATGGCGAATGTCTGGCAAATAATCGTGGTAGGGTACCGTGTCATCAGTCAATGAGGTGCCTAGTGATCCGGCATCGTGTCACCAACTGTCGCATTTTTTAACGAACAACCTCAGGTATGGTACAATATATCTCGGTCACAACTTAAAACTAACTCTGCTAACTCTTCATGATTTTTCTTCAGAGAGATGTCAATATTGTAAATAATAGGTGCAAGTGTAGCGTGTGGAGTGGCAGATGCTGCGAGAAGTGGTAGTGGTATTGGTAGTAGTGGAAGGTCTGGCAAGACTCACTGGCTAGTGCTGGCAGCCACCGCGCCCTCTATGGTGTGCACCTGCAGGACATCAACCAGTCAAAATACAAACAAATACGTCTACCTACTTGGTTTTGGTTCAGTAAAGATAGGATAAAGCAAATATAAAAAATGTGTGTATAATACAGCAGAGTGCAGTGCCTTATAAAGTACATATATTTATATACACACAGAATTCTGAAAGGTAAGATAATGTTTAACATTTATTTACAAAATATAAAATATTTATAGTAGAATACATAAAGAAACCAAAAAAAAGAAGGGCATACAAACTCATCTGGCATAATATATTTTTTCAGGTTACCCATACATACACATACACACACACACACACACACACACACACAACACACACACACACACACACACACACACACACACACACACACACACACACACACAAACACATCACACATATATATATATATATATATATATATATATATATATATATATATATATATATATATATATATATATATATATATATATATATATATACACACAAAACAACCACTGTGAAAGAGTAGTGAAATTCCAAGCGCTTTCGTGACTACTCACATTGTCAAGGAACTATGAAAGTAATACATCAAAGGAAGGCAATTAAAGGGCTTAGACTACACCTCACAGTCAACTCCCACAACAAAGAAACACCTGACGCGCGACAATACCGGACTCATATGAAAAGAGGAACACTGCAGTATGTCCGCTGGTCCAACTAGACAGGTCCTCACGACATCCCACTAACAAAATATTCTACCCAAGAAATAAGGTTTATTATTTGTCCAATGTATTATTAAACTCTAACCAAATTTTATTAATTATAAATGAGTCTAATTTATATAAACCTAAGGAAATATTCATATTATTTTCAAAACTGCTTTTTATGAAACAAGATTCAAATATATTTCTGTCAACCATGGATTTGCTTGATACAACTTTCTCAACTTTTTGAAAATCAATTGGATGGTTAAAATCTCTTACATGAATAAATAGAGCATTGGAATCTTGTCCAGTTCTAATACTATATATATGTTGTTTTAATCTAAGTTCGAGATTTTTACCAGTTTGACCGTAATAAACTTTATCGCAAATTTTACAAGGAATCTTATAGACACATCCGTCAGCATTTTGGGGGGAATTCTTTATCAAAAGTTTTTTTTACTGTATCAAGATTTTTAAATACAACTTTAATATTAAAAGTCTTAAGAAGAGAAGGCATATCAACCAAGTTTTCATGGTAAGGGAGAACCAACATATTTTTAGTTGAATAAGGTTGGTTGTCCCTTTTTGGGTTGTAAAAAGTATTTCTAGCAATTTTAAATGATTTATCATTTACATTTCTCAGGTATTTCAGATCAATGGCTATTTCATAAATTTTGGATATTTCTTCATCTATGAACTCTGGACTACAAATTCGTAAAGCTCTCAAAAACATTGATGAGAAAACAGACAGTTTGACTCTATCTTGATGGGAAGAACAATAGTTTTCTCATCAATGTTTTTGAGAGCTTTACGTATTTGTAGTCCAGAGTTCATAGATGAAGAAATATCCAAAATTTATGAAATAGCCATTGATCTGAAATACCTGAGAAATGTAATTGATAAATCATTTAAAATTGCTAGAAATACTTTTTACAACCCAAAAAGGGACAACCAACCTTATTCAACTAAAAATATGTTGGTTGTCCCTTACCATGAAAACTTGGTTGATATGCCTTCTCTTCTTAAGACTTTTAATATTAAAGTTGTATTTAAAAATCTTGATACAGTAAAAAAACTTTTGATAAAGAATTCCCCCCAAAATGCTGATGGATGTGTCTATAAGATTCCTTGTAAAATTTGCGATAAAGTTTATTACGGTCAAACTGGTAAAAATCTCGAACTTAGATTAAAACAACATAAATATAGTATTAGAACTGGACAAGATTTCAATGCTCTATTTATTCATGTGAGAGATTTTAACCATCCAATTGATTTTCAAAAAGTTGAGAAAGTTGTATCAAGCAAATCCATGGTTGACAGAAATATAATTGAATCTTGTTTCATAAAAAGCAGTTTTGAAAATAATATGAATATTTCCTTAGGTTTATATAAATTAGACTCATTTATAATTAATAAAATTTGGTTAAAGTTTAATAATACATTGGACAAATAATAAACCTTATTTCTTGGGTAGAATATTTTGTTAGTGGGTTGTCGTGAGGACCTGTCTAGTTGGACCAGCGGACATACTGCAGTGTTCCTCTTTTCATATGAGTCCGGTATTTTCGCGCGTCAGGTGTTTCTTTGTTGTGGGAGTTGACTGTGAGGTGTAGTCTAAGCCCTTTAATTGCCTTCCTTTGATGTATTACTTTCATAGTTCCTTGAGAATGTGAGTAGTCACGAAACCGCTTGGAATTTCACTACTCTTTCACAGTGGTTGTTTTGCTATTTTAAAATCACTTGTTTACTGTGATCTTATTGTATATATATATATATATATATATATATATATATATATATATATATATATATATATATATATATATATATATATATATATAATGATGTGCTGAATAGGTAAAACTGGTCAATTAGCAAGAACTCAGTTGAAATTAAGTCCTTTCTAAAATTTTCTCTTAAACGTTTAAAGATATATTTTTTCATTCATGTTAATGTAAAAGTTAATAATTTTGTAGCAAAAGAATCTTAGAAAACTTACCTAACTTATTATAACAATCGCAATTTAATTTAGCCTAATCCAACTAAATATATTTTAGGTAAGTTTACAATAATTTAATAATAAACAAACACAATGAAATATATTTTTTTCATTAGGTTCAGGATGATTTTTGCAAAATAATTGCCAAGCCCATGATGACACTCTTCAGGTCACTTGTTCTATCTAGGCTGGAATATTGCTGCACACTAACAGCACCTTTCAAGGCAGGTGAAACTGCTGACCTAGAAAATGTACAGAGAACCTTCACGGCGCGCATAACGGAGATAAAACACCTCAATTACTGGGAGCGCTTGAGGTTCCTGAACCTGTACTCCCTGGAACGCAGGCGGGAGAGATACATGATTATATACACCTGGAAAATCCTAGAGGGACTAGTACCGAACTTGCACACGAAAATCACTCTCAACGAAAGCACAAGACTTGGCAGACGATGCAACATACCCCCAATGAAAAGCAGGGGTGTCACTAGCACGTTAAGAGACATTACAATAAGTGTCAGGGGCCCGAGACTGTTCAACTGCCTCCCAGTATACATAAGGGGGATTACCAATAGACCCCTGGCTGTCTTCAAACAGGCACTGGACAAGCACCTCAAGTCGGTACCTGACCAGCTGGGCTGTGGCTCGTACGTTGGATTGCGTGCAGCCAGCAGTAACAGCCTGGTTGATCAGGCTCTGATCCACCAGGAGGCCTGGTCACAGACCGGGCCGCGGGGGCGTTGATCCCCGGAACTCTCTCCAGGTAAACACATTATTCGGAAGAAGAGCGTTGCTATTTAAGCCAAAATAGCAAGCTTTTACCCATTCGGCACGATATATATATATATATATATATATATATATATATATATATATATATATATATATATATATATACATATATATATATATATATTATATATATATATATATATATATATATATATATATATATATAATATATATATATATATATATATAATATATATATAAATAGAGAGAGAGAGAGAGAGAGAGAGAGAGAGAGAGACAGACAGACAGACAGACAGACAGACAGACAGACAGAGAGGTAAATGAATCAGTGGGTATATATGTATTATTGTTAAAATAATCTAAAGCAAGCTAAAAAAAAAAAAATTAGTTTAACAATCTAAAAATGAAATCCAGTCAATCGTTCTTGTTACTGAAACAAATATTTACAGCCTCAACAGTACAAAGTCAATGCAATTTATTTTGCAACTAAAAAATCTTGTATAATAAAATACAAACATCTTCCAGTTTACGAGAAGGTAAAGCATTAACAGGTGAAGCTGTTGGACTGTGTGCGCCCTCAAGTTGTAGTAATACATAATATTATATATGTAATATCAAGAGTTCATCTGTGGCTTCAGTTTTGGTATAAACAACCATTCCGATATTAAAATATCACTCTTTAAATGGACAGAAGTCGGAAGCCTGACATCAATGGCAGAGAATAGGGCTTGACGAAGGAGGCGACTTAGACAGTTGATACCCAGTCTGAAATGACTTGCCCAAGTGATCGCAGGTTCTGTAAATGGTCGCATCTAGAACAGGAAAATAGATGCCTTTCGGTAGCTTCGCGATCCGAGAAAGGTACCACTCGCATCCCATAACTTCAACCCTCTCTACTTCAGTGCATGCAAGAGGAACAGTGACTGTCTCTCGAAACTCAAGAGGTAGCGAGACTACAGCTCAACTCCCTCAAAACACATAGGAACTCGAGTCCAATTCTCCCAAGAGTTCTAGAAGCTGATCAACACCTTCAAAAATCCGAAGAGGTCAATACACTTAAGAAACCTAACGCCTTAAAAGGTCCAGCTGTGGACCAGCACTCTTATTAGGATTAGCAACTGGAACTTAAATCAGTCTAACACAAAATACTAATGCATTAACACACTCAAAAGAAGTGTCAATATGCATGGCACATGACGCATGTATCCATGTGTCATGGACTAAAAGACAACGAAACATCAAATTTCATAGAAAATGTATATAAATATCTAAAATTCATAGAAAGAATGATAAAACAAGAAGAAATGAAGATATGTATTAAGACTTACAGTGTAAATCCGGATATCTTAGTAATTTGTTACAAGGAGCACTATTTTGTCAAACTTCTGAATACTATAAAAATAGGTAAGATCTTATTGTTTTTTAGACTTGTTTTTGCATTTATATTCAATTTTCAGTTCTCTACAATCCTGTAAGGAAAAAAGTTGGTATTTTATTCATGTTTTAAAGATACTGATTGTAGTCTTCCTGGCACAACTTTAAGTCTCCACAGCTGAGAGGTTAAA